TACTAGAGACCCTACAGGTACCCTTAAGGGTCCCTTAGAAAGGCCTCAGGGTCCATATTCGGGCCCATACTTCTAACCTTAGACAGATGGAGGGTGCAAGTAGGGTACCCTACAATTTACTATGAGGGGTACTATACCGGGTACTCTAGAGACTCTTTCGGTTATGATGAGGGGTACTACATGGGGTACTATTCGGGACATACTGGCAAACATGTGTACAACCTCTGTGAATGCTTCCACATGGCAGGCCAACCCGTCTTCACCGCAGAGCTCTCTCCAACTGGGGCACCGAGCATGACCTTTGCAAATATTTGCCTGCGTCGGGGAAACTTTCGGGCTTCGCAGGAATCCGGGAATACCTGCGTTTCAAGGTTTTGGGTTTGCGGTACGTGCAGAAGCATCAAGTGTTAACACGCCGGGTGTACTGAATCTCTTTCTCAAGAGATGCGAGCTCGGTCACAACAGGAGCAAGAGCCTCGGCAGAATGGGTATAACCGTCTTCCGAGCGCTTGTGGGTTTTGGGGTTTTGGGGTTCAAGGGTTTACAGGGCTGAGGGCCAGACACGTGTTTATACTACTTCGGGCGCTGAGAGACTTGGGTGCACGATAGGAAAACACGAAGTTCATGTCACGAGATGTTTTGAAGAGGTCGACATGGGAGCATCATCTGCACACACAAGTTGCGAGGAGTACACCGGATGCCTTTGGCACAAAAGCTCTTCTTGCATGTTGCGCAAGGCGCTGCAGGAGCAAGCCCTGCAAGAGCCACTGGATGTCCTTGAAACCGACATGTCTCCGGCCAAGGTCTTACGAGGCTAGGGTAGAACATAATACGTCGCTGCCTTGAAATCCGAGGTTAAAGAGCCAATCTGCATTGACTTTACTTGAAGGCAAGTGAAAATCAGGCTGCGCGGAATCATCTGCACAACGCTCTCTTGGTGCCGAACGCTGGTATGCTTTGCAGTCATCGCAATGGTCTTGTCGCCCTTCCTTAAGGCACATCATCAACTTCTCGGCTTGTTGCTCAAGTGAAGATAGCATAAAACCCTAAACCTTAAACCCTATACCGGAAAGGTCAGCCAAGCAGCTTCGCACCGTAGACGACAACTGCGGCCTCCTGCGGTGTGGGACAGGGGAAGTCAACAGAGGGTTAAGGGTTTAGGGTTTAGGGTGGGGTTCTGGCGGAGGTGAGCCAACTCCATTGTGAAGCAGCACATGTAGAAAAGCGAGGTGTCTTAAGCATGCACCCAGAGAACCCAATACCCCTTAATTAAGGAATATACCTTAAATCATAATATTAAGGCCCCTATAATTTAAGGTATATTCCTTAATTAAAGTGTATTGGGTTCTCTGGG